ACAGTTGGCCCTGCATTCCTCCCTCTCCGACTCTCTCTCACCCTCTCCTTTAAACTTCTCCCTCCCTTTGTTTCACAGTGAACCACTTCTGTCCTTCCTTTCTGCTCACTGTTACTCCATCAACGTGCCTTGCAGTCCCCATCTCCATTTATTTTTAGGATAAAATAAAGAGATAAAAGTGTGGGAGCTTAGGGGGAGAAGCAAAGACGGGAACCTGATGAGAATTAGCAAGAAGAGAGTGAAGAAGTGAGCAAAAAAAAAAAAAGCTCGGGGGTGGATCTAGGTGGAGATGGGGGGGTTGATTTCAAGTTTAGCTGCTGCCACTCAGGTTTTGTTTTTTTCTGACTTTATTCTTTTTTTAAAAAAGAACCTTCCCTGAGATGAGAAGAGGTGAGGAGAAGGAAGTTGGGGAAAAAAAGAGAAATGAGTTCCACATGTTTTGAATCTGTAGGGTGACATGGTAGGTGAGGGAAAATAAGACATCACAGTCCTCTCCACCAGTCTGGATGACATGCCCACCCTCGAAAAAAGTGCCAAACAGAGAAAAGGTTAATAAGAGTTTCCCAGGCCTCGTAGGCTGACTCTAAAAGTTAAATCTTCCAATGCTTTGCTTAAATCGTTGGGGCATTAACTATAAATAAATGTGATTCAGTGTCAAACTGAACACTCGCTCACTTTTTAATTTGACAGGAACATAAAAAAAAAAGTATTTGGCATTTTTAGACCTGCCATAGATTAATGACAGTGTATATAGTGCAGGGAGAGACATAGCATAACAATGTCATCATCTATTATTTGCTGGCTGGGGCCAGAGCCAGACGTGCTCTGAACTTTTGCCGTGGAAGATGATCCCTCATTCTGCAGAACTATTTCAAAGCTCCGGAAATCCAGGCTTGTGCCAGCAGAGGGCTGCCGCTGGAGAGCCAGGGAATGAGAGCAGTCTGAGGTTTTCTGTTCATGAGTGAACAGAAAGGGGGGTAGAGAGAAGATGTGCGTTCCTCTTTAGGCACCGAGATGCTGCCACTACTTTTATGAATCAGTTTAACTAGTCAACCCACAGCGACTCTAGGTTATAAATGAACAGGGACGACACCTTTTGAACAACGTTCTATCTAAGGTCAACATTCCTCCAAACGCAGATTAGCTGCATTATAATGCCATGATGCTAAAAAACAGAGAAAGTTCGACAGAGCGGTGGTCATACCTGTATCCTTTCTCCATAACTTCCATCGCCCTCCTGGACAGGGGGGCCCTGTGCACCCTGGCTGACAGTCCAACCAGCGCTTTGGTTTTGAAATCACAACTCCACTCCTCCTCTTCGTTCAGCGTGGACAGGTATCCACAGACAACCTCCAGGTCGCCCAACCCGCTGGAGGTGACATGATTGGGGTTCTCTCCCCCCGTCCTCACGTACTCCAGGTAAATGTCAGAGGTCAGGAACATCTGGTACGCGCTGTCCTCCATGTTGGTTTGGATCTCGGTTTGCGCCTGGTCGAACATGGCAGAGTCGATGTGCTGCTTCTTGATATTATCCCGAATGAAGGTCTTAGTCGCGGGTTTGAGCAGTTTAGCGACTACGCTGTTGTTCTCGATGTAGCGCTTGTAAATTGCTTTGGCGGCTCTCTGCGTTTTGGTATCCTTGAGGTCCATTTGCCTGAAGCCATTGCAGGCGAACCAGAAGTCCAGCGCGTCCACGCACTTCTCCCGCTCCAGGAATGTCCTGAAAAGAAGAGCGCCGTCCTGGTCCCCGAGGAGAGAGTGCAAAGACTTTGTCCACCGGGATAGCGGTGAGTCCGGGGAGGCGCTCCCCTCTGGCTCCCCCAGACCATCCTCGTTCCTTCTCGCTGAGGAGCCAGGAGAGCCGAGCAGAACCGATTTGGGGGGTTCCGCGGTTGTCATCATTGCGACTTTGCCGGGGTAGCAGGGCGCATCGCCCTCCTCCCCAGGCACCGGGGGTCTAGGGGCATCTTCGCGAAAACTACTGGCGATATGATCCATGAGCACCCGGCTCATGGCTCCGACGGCAGCAGGAGAGGGAGCCCGTGTGCTGTTCTCCTCCTCTGAGCTTCTACTGTTATCTCCTCTTTCTCATATGTCAGCGGGGGAGCTTCTCTCCGGCTGTCCGTCTTCTCCCTGGAACACAAAGTATTGATCTAATCAAAGGAAGGCCCGCCCCAAACTTCAAAGGGGCAGAGAGGCAGTAAGAGTCTTTCACAATCCCTCAAATGACTTTTGGGCAGAAACACGGGCTAAATCGTTCAGATGTGACAAATCAGAAAACGCTGCTGCAGCGTTACGTAAACAGAACTCTTTCAGTCCGAGGATCTGTGAACAAAATAAACAAATCTAAGAGCTATTTCACACATAAGCTGGCGATGAGAGATGGCACTCGGAGTGATGCCTTCCCTG